ATGGTGGTGTGCTGGAAATTATCCACCACCTGGATTGCCCTTAACCCACCTCTTGGGTAGGGGGCAAGTTACCATGGTGAGATGTGAACCTGTAAATAGAATCCAAGCCCTCCAGACAACGCTCCCAAGAAAGGGAATGAGGGGGTCCCCAGGAGCCAGGCACAGAAGCTGCCCTGGGATGACAGCCGACGTGACACGTGCTGACAGTGGACTGGACAGCCCAGATCAAGCTGAACATGTGGCCTTTGTCCGCTTTCTCTCTCCCCCAATTCCACACCTGTTACTGCCAAGAATCGGACACACAAAGCTCACCTCTTAATATTTCCAAATAATTCTGTGTTAACAACTTGACTGTCTGGTATGTGACCAAAAAAAAAAACCCTGACAACAAAAATTATTATTCAAAGTAAAATATTATTTTAGGGCAACATTATTTTTTAAATTCACATTTTTCATTTGTTAGAACATGTAGCAGTTCTGTGAACACACAGATAAGAGAATACAATAGATATTTGACAGTGTAGTTCTCAGAATATTTGCATATCCAAGAGATTATTTCAGCAAGTATACTTAGACTGACCCTATTAACCATTCACAATATTTTGTCTTGAATCCAATTCACACTCTATAGACATGTCCAATTCACATTTCAGCTCTTACGCTATTTTCCCTTTTAGACTTTATATTAGGAAATAAATCCATAACATCAAATTTCATGACAACATCTGCCCCAGCTGACATGATTGAAAGGGAATTTTACTCATCCCGGGTTATTCTGTTTCTTAATTTGTCCTTCAGTATGCCTGAGAAGCCGACTGTGTGAACAATGGAGACCACAGGTGCAAAGGCACAGCTGGCCCCCGCCTGGACAAGGGCAGACAGTGACTGCAGGAAGTACTCTGAAGTGACAGGGTCGACAAGATGACAGGACAAGATTTCCCGGGCATGATGACCTTGCCCATTTGCATGCAAGCTGACTCTGCCAAGCGAGCAGGTAGAACATTCAAGATTAAAGCAGATCAGGGTATATGAAGATATTTCAAAAAATTAATGGAAAAAGATAAGTTTCTTATAGGACAAAAGTTGTTTTGAAATCTCTTCATAGTTTTCTTCTAATAAGTACTTTTTCCTGCATGAGCTTCAAATTTTTCATACCAAAATTATCTTTTAGTTACATTTTTTCCACAAACTTTTTGGAGTACCCCCTTGTATACTGTACAATAACCTTTTTTTTTTAAGATTTATTTTTATTGGAAAGGCGGATATACAGAGAGGAAGATCCTCCATCCAATGATTCACTCCCTAAGTGAGCGCAACGGCCGATGCTATGCCGATCCGAAGCCAGGAGCCTCTTGCGGGTCTCCCACGCGGGTGCAGGGTCCCAAGGCCTTGGGCCGTCCTCAACTGCCCTCCCGGGCCACAGGCAGGGAGCTGAATGGGAAGCGGGGCTGCCGGGATTAGAACCAGCGCCCATATGGGATCCCGGGCGTGCAAGGTGAGGACCTTAACCACTGCGCCACCGCACCGGGCCCGAGTGCAATAACATTTTAATAAAGAAAAAGAAAAGAGAAGGGGACTCCACTAATTGTTCACCATGTTCTCAGCAGTACAATTCCAGCAACAGGTAGAAACAGCTCCAGCATCCATCAACAGATGAGTGAATATACAAGCTGTGGCTTCTATATCCAGTAACATAAGATTTAGTATTAAAAAAATAATTAAGTTTGGATACATGCTATGATACAGATGCACATTGGAACCACTATCATAAGTGAGATAAGCTGGAAATTAGAGGCAAAATCTTGTAGGATGCCATTGATTAAAACTATCCAGAACAGCAGATCCAGAGCGAGCAGAGAGAGGAGGGTTCCAGGGACTGAGGAGCAGAGAACCGCACTTCTTGCCTGTTGTGCACAGAGTTCCCAAGCAGGGTGGAAAAAAGCTTGGAAATACTTAGTGGTGACAGTTACACAACATGGTGATTGTACCTAGTGCCACTGAATGGTATACTTAAAATGGGTAAAACAGTTCATTTGATGTATAGACTTTACCACAATGAAAAACTAAATGATTTGGAATACATCTATGAATCCAGATAATACCTAACACCAGCCAATCGGATTGAGAACATCAAGGGGGCAGGTGTTTGGGTCGCAGTTAAGCCACCACTTGTGTCACTTGCATCTCGGTGCATGTTGGAGTGCCTGAGTTCAAGTCCCAAGGCTACTTCCAATTCCCACTGCTTACAGATGCACAAGTTGGGAGGCAGCAGGTGATGGCTCAAGGGCGTGCCACCTGTTAGAAAGAAAGGCTTCAGTTCCTATCTCCTGGCTCTGGTCTGGCCCAGTCCCAGCCATTGTGGGAATTTGAGGAGTGAGCTAGCATATGGAAAACCTCCATCTCTCTCGCTTGCTCTCTCTCTCTCTCTCTCAAAATTCAAATAAAATTTTTAAAAAGGAGTCATGAAAGCAGTAAGTGGAAAATTAAATCAGCCACAGGTAAAGAAGACAGGAAGTGGCTATCTCAGAACAGCTGTCTTAAGTGTGGCCAGGAAAGAAACCCCGCTGCTGTCTGCGCCCTGTGCTGGGGACTGCAGACAACACAGGGCTGTGTGCCAAGCTCTCCTTTGCTGCTTTCAGGGCAGAGGTACCAGTCTCCCTCAGCTGCATTCCCATCTGTGCCAACATGCCTGACATGGCACCAGCTGCTGGAAGAGGCTTGTGGCCGGGCATGCCTCTCCCTCGAGAAAGGGTTCCAGCATGAGGTCGTGGTCTCTGCCGCCTCCTGCCCCACACGTCCTACTCACTCAAAATCCTGCATCTTCCTGGTCTCAAGGACAGAAAGGGATGCTGGAGGTGAACCTGTGAGGTGCAGTAAGGAGAGCTCCCCACCTGAGCTCCAAAGGACCCACTCCTTCCTCAGCTGCCCCCTCTGGCTCAGAACCCGGGACAGGAGCCCACCGAAGTCAGCGCAGGCAGCGGAGCAGGCAGGCAGTCAGGGGTTTCCAGGTCCCCCCCGGGCTGGTAATCACATTCTCCAGCCAGGTGCCGGCAATAGGGCTCCTTGAGTCCAACCTTCTTGGCTCTGGGCCAGCGTTTCCAGGCCTCCCTCCACCCCGCGGTTCCTTCCCGTCATCTTTCCACCCAGAAGCCTGTTAACTATTTTCCTGTGCTTTTATTCAGATTGCCAGGCACCCTGCATGCGTTAAACTTCAAAGAAAGTTTGCAGCCATAAGCACGCTGGCGTAACAAGTGGAAGCGCCAAATGGCTGTGTTGGGAATGGTTTGTTAAAAATGAAGGAGCTGGACTTCTCTTTCTCTCTCTCCTCTTTTTTCAAATGAAATTGCATTTGTGGCTGGATTGAGCCTCCCAGTATCAATCCTGAAATTTGTAAAGATGAAAAGCAGAACAGCCTCGCAGTATTTAAAATGTAAAATGATTATGAAATGGCACTGGGCCAGTGTTTATGAATCATTGAATATGATCATAAAATCATAAAAAATAATCACCAAAAGGTAAATAAATTACCCAGCTTACTGCATCTTTTCATGAAGGGCCTGACACAAAAGCTACGCCATGAATGATTTATACCTGTTTTAACAATAATACTCGTTTTACTGAAAGATGGTCAGCACTTGGGCTGCTGTGGGCAACGTGCCAGTTGTCAAAAGGTTAATGTTTCAGCAGCAATACATTAAATTATGAATAATACCAGTCCCAAAATGGAAGGTTATTAGCTCAGTGTGCTTAATTAGCCTAGCTAGAACTTTGCCATCAAGTAGCAGTGCCCATTACTTGAGCAGTAGCTCTGATGGGTGCTGGCCACTTTGCTGGGGCAGAGAGAGAGAGAGACAGAGAGGAGCTACCTGGGCACATCTCTGGGTAACCACATCTCCAAAGCTGGATCTCAGATTATGAACCTGACCTGTGGTTTATCCAGAGACTTTCCAGAAGCCAGGAGCAGGAGATTGTCTGGAAGAGCCTGGTACTTAGAGACCCACACACAAACAGCACAACCTTCTCCTACATATGTTGGCTCCTGGAAAATTGGAAGGTACCAGGCCCAGGTGGGCAGACCCACAGGCACTCTTCCAGCACAGGTGTTTATTGAATGGTTGTCATGTGCCCGGCCCTTACAAAGTAGGTAACAGGACAGATGTGTCTTTAGATCCGAGGGGGGGGGGGCGACAATCAAGTTGAACAGCTGGCCGTGGGGTAACTGCATTCATTACAGCCATGGGACTGCTGTGAAGGGCGAGTTTAGGAAGCCAGCACCTGCACAGGAGTCTGGATGGGGGTTCTTGAAGTGAGCTGCCATTTGTTCTCTTGCTAAGGAGGCATAGGAATGAAGTAGGTGAATGTGGAAGGAAAGGTCTTCCAAGGAGAGACTGTGAAAAGTGGGCTCCATCTCCAGAAAGAATGGTGCCAGGGGAAAGTCATCCATTGCTTACAAGGAGTAATGGCAGGCTACCTGTCATCCGGAGCCGTGAGGCAGCCTCTGAGCAGATATCTTGCATATGTGTGTGTTCATGTGCCTGCGTGTATGTGTCCACACTGCAAGCCTTCCCACTCCCTGGTCCCATCCTGGCATGGCCCTGCCAGGTGCTCAGGTTTTATACTTAGTTGGGAGAGAGACTGGGGCTCACCCGTGGCTTGGAGATACTTTCGCTGGAGTTGAGCTGTCTGCCCTGCCACCCAACTCTGCTTAGTACTATTAGTAGCTTGTTTTTCCAAGCCCTAAAATTCATTTTCTTTTCCCGCCTCGCTTCCAGAAAAATAAATAAAAGTGAACACATCACTCATTTAAGACGAGGAATGGAATTTAGGTTGCGTTTTTCTTTCTATTTTTATGATTAGTTAGAATTTTCCTGGGAACGCCGCCAGGAGGGCATTATGGTGAGATAATGTCCTGTATTTAATCAGTGCTGCAATGGCGAACTGCGCTGGGTGGGGAGAGGCAAGCTAACGCATCCTTCTGTCCTGTTTCTGTTTGCAGGAGCCGGCCGTGTCACCCAAGATGAGGATGAGACTGACAAGCAGCACAGCTTCAGGCTTGAGTGACAGCCCACGAGTGGACAGGGCACAGCCGTGACGCCAGCTCTGCTTGCAGGACCCGGAGGCTGCCAAAGAAGCTGAAAGAGCAGGGGCCCCCACACTGACCCAGGTGGCCAGCTGGGGTTCTGCAGCCCCTGGACTCTGTTGGCATCTTCCTCCTCACCATTCAGACATCTCCTGGCCGGAGCTCCCATCTGGCTGTCACATGTGCGTCTCTCCTCGCTTTGCAACTTGAGCACCATGTGCCAGGGGACACTCAAGGCCCTTATGTGAACCTGGAGATCAGCACCAGGTAGGAACTGATGACTTTCTTCTCTCTGTGAGCCTGGGCCGCTCAGCATTTCTCCCGGAAAAGCCTGCACTGCAGGCAAGAGCAGGCAGTGTGCAGTTTTCTGAGTTGATCGTGTTGGAACAGCTGTTGGATCCCTGGCTGGCTAGGGAAGGATTCCTGGTGCTAAACAAGGAAAGGCCTCCTGGGAGAGGTGTCTGGGAGGAAAGGAGAACTCAACGGCTCAGGGGAAGAGCAGAAAGGGGAGTTTTTCCTCACCCTGAGAATGGGCACAAGTTGGCCTTTGCAGATAACATGGGTGGCCAGGAAGGCTGGTGCGAGTGGGGCTCCTGGAGCCCTTCCAGATTTTACTGTTGTCCCCCATGCAGCTCAGTGTCTGCCAGAGCCATCTGAGCAGGTGAGGGCTGCAGGGAGCACAGGATGCCCCCAAGCAACCTATAAATAGCAAGGCGAAGACAAACTGTTTATGGCTTAGCCTCATGAAGCCCATATACGTGCTCTCCCAGGGCGCACACAAACAGGCGCAAGCGGGAGCCAGCCCACGTGTGTGTCCCAGGAGCGGGCATCCCAGACATTGTATTCGCGCTTGGCTTCCTTCTATGAAGGCATCCATTGGATGGAACGGTTCGTAGCCAGCCCAGCAAGCCTCATGTGGAGACAGAGCTCGCTTTTTCTTCTTCCTCTTCCTGTTTGCAAGGAGAATGGGGCCTTTCTCTTCTGGCCCCTCGCGCTCCCCAAAGTTGTCTCACAAGGTCATTGCCAGCTGACAGCGCTCCTTTCAGTGCAAGGTTTGGTTGGAAACAATGTTCTGCTTTCTGGGGGGGTAGGAGTAGAGGAAGGGGGAGGAAGGGAGTGTGTGCTGCAGAGTCTCTGGGCCACCCCGAAATGTAAATGGGCTATTATTTCCCTCAATTTCTTCAGGCACCTGGATCTGCATGGTGTTGGCATGCATGTGCACGTATATGCATATATGATCTCTACATGCCAACTGGGCAGAACAAGGGACTAGGGGTTGGAGATGTTCATGTCTGGTTCTAAGCCACTCTCACTGTATGTCCCTGGACGAGTTGTGAAGCCATTTACTCTTCAGGGTCCTGCGTCCCAACTCATCTGTCTGTGAGATGCCTTAGTGGGCAAATGTTCTATGACTGTGACTGCGAAGTGCTTCTCACACAGCCCTGTACAGGACGTCTGGGCTGCCATCAGCACTGATTTCTGAGAGCAGTAAGAGGATGTGCTAAATGCTCTATGGACCATCTGAAACCCTGACTTGGCTGGTTTGCATAAGCAGGAATGGAAAGTAGTAACAAGTAGAAGGGGCCCATTCTTAAAAAATCCTTCCTAGATGTTCTCCGGACTTTTAACTGCACCAATCATGGTTGCCACTGATTTACTATCTGGAAAATCAAGCAGTGCTTTAGAAACTATTTGGGGGATTTCTGAAGGCGGTCCCTATTCTGCAAACCGTTGGGTTGAGGGTCACCGAGCAGGTGACAGTCACTCACTGATACCAAAATGTACTGTTTTGAGTCATGATTATTCATCAGCAAGAAACAGAGAAAGTGGGTAGAATAAGCAGCAGGACTCAGCAAGGCCCAGTGCGTGGGATGCTAGGAGCCTGCTGGCATGGCCACGCAGGCTGGTGTTGGCCAGCACCACAGGAGTATGGCCCACTCGGCACAGCATGCTGGCCTTCTAGGAAGGTAAGTCACTTGCTGGTCCAAGAAAGAGGGATTCCTTGAGGTTCCGCCAAAAAGCACAGCGAGAGCCAGGCCTAATATGGCTGAAGGCCTCAGCCAGCTACTGTGTGGGTCTCCACCAGGTGGGTTTTCCCACGCTCCTGGCCAGTGTGTAATTGCAAAGAGCTGGACACTGTAGTCTGCCTGGTTAGTGGGGTCTTCTTTAACCTCCTTTCCCCTCTTCTCTCCTGTCCCTTTATCTCCTTCATTCCTTCCACAACCTTTTATAAAACATGCTGTCGATGATGAGGGTTGTGCACACAGTTTGAAAGCAACTGGACCCTGAGTTCAAAATACTTCGCATCCCCCCGAAGACTTAAGTGGACAGATAGCCACACATACTCTTTAGGAGAGTTATTGTGATGAACTCAGAGAACATAGAGGAGGAAGAAAGGAAGTTGGCCTAGAGGGACTCCAGGAGGGGAACTGTCAGATTGATGTTGATAGAGAGGGGGCCAAGAAAGGGAGTCACAGGTGGTCTAGCAAGCATCCATAGATGCTTTGTTTACTGTGCGTGGAATTTGAGGAGGAATCGAGGCCAGAGATGAGGTTAGCAGTCACTAGCCTCAAGGCAAGCGCAACTTAAGTTCAGAAATATTTCCTTATCCTTATTTCCAACATTCAGTTCCCCAGGTCTGGACACAACAGCATGTGGACCCTCCAAATTTTGTCATTCATTAACAAAATATCAGAATCATTACTAAAGGGTTCTGGTCAGTCTTGCAGGACAACCTGGAGCCACAGACCCTGAGTCTGCCAGGAGGAGAACCTTATCCACGATATTCACCCTGATTCATGCCAGTCAGTGAAGGGTCAAGACAGTGCAGTCACCCCACTATGATTTAGTGACCATGGAGTCCATGGTGTGACTTGCATTAAACCCTTTGTTTAGTGACACAGCTAGCTTTGCAGGAGCTCAGTTTTCTCCTATTTGACTTCTTGATAAAAAGATGTGCTGGATGAAAGAGAGGCAGGTCTGTGAAGGGGAGACACTCTTCTTGGCTTTGGAGTGGGTGTCTGCAGACACATACCATGTTACATGCAAATGCAGAGGCCTCATGCAACCTTGAGGCCTTCCAGTGAGCCACACCATTCTGTTTCCGACTCCTTCGTACTGCACTGTGCTGCTGGGCCCGGCCATGGATACTGACGTGAGTGATCTCCCTTTCAGGGTCTGAGTAGGGCAGAGACCCTCCAGCAAGCTGCCGGCCCGGCTAGCACTAGAGGGGTGGGAAGGCCAGCCTTCTCGTGATAGTAGCTGCTCCTCTCAGCATTCTGCCCCTGCCATCTCTAACTCCTAGGTCTCATTCATTCATGCACTTCAACACTATAATAATGATTTAAATTCCATTTGGTTACCCAAACCCATGTTCTCACTACCTGCTCTGACCTGTGAGGGTTGTAAAACTTTGTTTGAGAGTAGATTCCCTCTGGGCACAGTGTCCTGCTCATTTCTCCTCTGTCCTTCTCAGTACCTGGATCCAACACTGGCACAGAGAGCATACAAGTGATTGCTCTAATATTCCAGGCTCTATGTAATCCATAAGACAAAAGAAATGAAAATCTTGTATGGCTTACTTACAAACTTTTTTGTCTTTTATGATTTAAAACATTTCCTGGTCTTTGGACCATGTTAAGTTTCACGCTGTGTTTAGAATTTGGTGACACTCAGTTTAGGAAGAGTCCAAAGTGACACGAACAAAGTAATCCTCCCCTCCAAAAGATGAACAAAGGCCACTTGCTTGGAGAGTCCACAGGAGTCTCATCTGTCATGCCCCATTTTTAATTAGAGTTATAATCACCTCTCAGGGGGTGTCTCGAGCTTCATTGATTCCACCAGCTTCCCCATGACATGTAAGACTCATGATGTTTAGGATCTGTCGCCTGGGGGCTTTGGGTGGAAGGAATTCCTCATGCACTCTGAGAGGATGAGGCGTTTCTGAAGTCAACATAGCAAACAGTACCTGTTCTTTCAAAGTTGTCATTCACAGCCTGTGTATGCCCAAGAACACAGCTCGTTAATGCTCCTTATGAGATCATCCTACTGAGGTCTATCTAGCATTGTGATACTATGTTAGGCTGCTGCTGGTGATGGTGGCATCGCAATAGGGCACTAGTTCAAGTCCTGGTTGCTCCACTTCCAACCCAGCTTCCTGCTGCTGTGCCAGGGAAAGCAGAGGAGGATGGACCAAGTTCTTGGATCCCTGCACACATGTGAGAGGCCCAGATGAAGTTCCTGGGTTCAACCCTGGCTATAGTGGCCATCTGAGCGAGTAAACCAGTATATGTATATATCTCTCTTTCTCTCTTTCTCTTCCTGTAATTTGGCCTTCAAAATAAAATAATAAATAAATAATAATATAAAAGAAACCAAAAATATCCCACTGAGCTGCCTTTCTCCATCTGTGGAGAAGAAAACTGTCTTCTGAGAAGACCTCATCAGGATCCTTTGCAGTCAGCTGCTCTGAGAACAGACCTATAGCCATAGAGATCATTCCAGAACATTTTACTTCCAAACCAGTCCTTCACGTCAGGTACTGTGGCTTGGCATCCTTGCTCACAGCAGATCAGCAAATGTCTGATCATGGTTGTTATCTGTGAGTCACCTCCCTCACACAATGGTAATCCTACAGTCTTTAAAACAAAGCAGCATTGCCAGGTATGGGGCTGGAGCTACTGTCCTAGACCAGGAATTCTCAGTAGGAATGCTCTTGATATTTTTCAAATGAAGTTTTGTGTTTTTTTTTTTCATTGAGATTGTTATTTTGAGTAGGTTGATTCTTTATTAATGGAGGAAATCTGCCTTATGCCCTGGATTATATTTATTTGAATCCCTGGTCCTTACCCAAAATGACAACCCCAAAGTATCTCTAAGGACTTCCAGATATTCCTGGGATCAGAAATGGGGGGGCAAAGCTACATGGAATCTAGTGTTCAGGCTTCGTGTAGAACAGACACTTAGGGACCATGTTCAGGAGTTACCTGTCCTCAGAGGTACTGGGGCAGCCAAGAGTTGGAGTGCCAGTGGAGTGCCAGAGCAATGGAAGCACTTGACCGAGAGAGCGAGCCCCTCTTTATCATGAGCCTTTGTAGGGGCTTGTGAGGGGAGTGGTTATACAACAATGCAATACTGCCCCCTCTCAGGTGATAGGTGAGAGTCACAGGTGGGCAGGAGGGAACACCTAGGCAGCTTCCGAGCTCGTGCTCTTGAATTAGCTGCCTAACTCACCACAATACAGCCTGCCAATACTCACTGCAGAATCT